GAAATAATGTAAATTGTAACCGTAAAAGTTATGAATATTCATATTGTCAACATTTCCTTGACACTTAATTTCATTTGCATTCAAACCATAATTGACCATGCAAGAAAGTACCTGTCCCCTCAAGACGTGAAGTCTGTTTTTACTATTACAGTTTCAAATGTTATATGACAACTTTCCATCAGCCCCAAATGGCATAAGGTCAAATACTGAACATCTAACAGCAGTCTAAAGTACTGTGCCTACTTTTAAAGTTCAATAGCTAAATCATAAAACGCGATTTAACTTTCAGTGGACACCTTTGTAGTAGTTTTGGGGGAGACTAATACTGAAGCTGAAGGATGTCATGTATTCCAAGATTTATAATAGAACTGCAGAGGCTGGGCCCGGGGGCTCATGCCTGTAATCCCAGCATTTTGGGAGGCTGAGGTGGAAGAACACTGGGAGGCCAGGAGTTCGAGACGAGTTTGAGTAACATAAAGAGCTCCAGTCTTTAAAAAAATAAAAAATAAAAATAAGTAAAATAGAACTGAGGAATGAGAAGAAACAAACAGGAAGGCAGTATCCACCAAAAAAGTTGATAGTTACATGACAGAAACAAACCTAGAACTCTAGTCTCCTACCGCCTTTGAGCGCAAGCTGGAGGGGGGGGGTGTTAGAAAGGGGGGGATGCGAAGGAAAGGAAGTAACAATCTAACTGAATCCACTAAATGCTAAAGTTGGGTTAAATGATTTGTAATATTATAGAGGAGCTATTTGTGGTAAAACAGTCGTAAAATGAATGGTGACTACACAGATCTGAGTTCTTACGCAAGATTGCCAAATGTCTGTATTATATAACCCTAGCCAGATAGCTTTATCCATTTATATACGTAAAATAGCCAACCTATTTTCTTACACATCATTATAGAGAATATGGATAATAATGCCAAAATAGTAAAAATATTTGCTCCAGGCAAAACATTTTGATTATGTTTCTTAGACATCTGATAAAGTTGATTTTATATTAAAATTATTTCATCTAAAATGTAATTTAAATTTAAACCTTATTTAAATTAAAAAATTTAAAACTTGCTGAGCACAGTGGCTCATCCTTGTAATCCTGGGAAGCCGAGACCAGTAGATTGCTTGAGCTCAGGTGTTCAAAACCAGCCTGAGCAAAAGCATGACCCCATCTCTACTAAAAAGAGAAAAACTGGCTAACATTATGGTGGGGACCCATAGTCCCCACTACCCAGGAGGCTGAGGCAAGAGGATCATTTGAGCCCAGGAGTTTAAGGTTGCTGTGAGCTGTGACACCACAGTACTCTACCTACCCAGGGCAACAGAGTGAGACTCCATCTCAGAAAAAAAAACAAAAAAAATTAAAGCTTATTTAAATCAAAAACTTAAAACTAGTGAATGATGTAGCTAATTACTAAGTATTTTAAGCACATGTCATTTTTAAAAAGAAATGAAAAACTGTCCAATCATTCAATAACCCTGCTCCTGACAGTAATTGTTCATCTTGAGCTACTTTTAGCGCATGCAGTGATGTGATGATTCACTAAATGGCGATCTTAAACCAAAATATTAAAGTAATCAGAACGCTTTTAAATGTGGCCTTTATATGCATGACAGTTACAAACAAGATTTTCTGAGCCTGGAAACTTGAGCCTTTACTCAAGTTGAGGCTAGGTTTCCAAAAGCCTCAAGCACTCCTTTTTTTTTTTTTTTTTTTTTTTTTTGTGGCAACCAGAATAGTCTTTTATATTGTTGCTAAGATAACACAAGAACAAAGTCTTTTTATCCAACTTTTCATCATTTAGAAAACGGGATCTATAGATTAATAAAATCATTTTTAAGAGTATTTTTGTCAGTTTTTATACTGGACTTGGTTCAATTAAGACAAAAGTTTTCTTTAACTTTAAATGATGCCCTGTGTTTGAATAATTTCCTTAGGTCTGATAACGGTGAGAAGGACTAGCAAGCTGGAGACACATTTCATAAGCCAACTCATTTGTTTCTCAGTGACTGCCTGGAAATATGCAAGTTTGGAAATGCAAAGATAACACGTAATCTTTAAGGAAAAAACAAAGGCTTTTAAGTCAAATCCTAGCTTGGCACAGGGGCTCACGCCTGTAATCCCAGCACATTAGGAGGCCAAGATGGGAGGATCACTTGAGGCCAGGAGTTCTAGACCAGCCTGGGCAATATAGGGAGACCAGTCTCCACAAAAATTAGCCCCAGGTGTGATGGCACACGACTGTAGTCCCAGCTATGTGGCAGGCTAAGGCAAGAGTTTGAGGCTGCAGTAAGCTACGAAGACACCACTGCTCTCCAGCCCGGATGACAAAGTCTTGTCTCAAAAAAGGAAATCATAAAGTTAAGTCCTTTGCATTTTAAAATGGCAGAATCCATTCCTAATCAGAAGCTAACCCTTGGAAATTCCACAGCTGCTAAGTAGCCATCTCTGCTGTTTCAGAAACTTTCTAAATCTCAATATTTTTACAAACTTTCCTGAGCAACCAGTCTTCACTTGATCTTGAGATAACTTAGTAATAACAAAGTACTCAGAGCCTGAATGAGCTGCTGCATGACCTAGTGTTTCTATAATGTTGATAACCGATGCAAGTAGACACGAGTGATGAGCTGTGACAATCTATCAATCATGTACAATCTAGTTCACTTACTGCACATAATCGTAGTAGAAAATAAATGAAAAAAAAATTTAAGGTCTAAAAGAATTAGTGTACCTTGCTGTCTCTCTGAGGCATTTGTTTGTCCTTATTTTTACATAGTGCCTACACCTGTATCTATGTGTGTGACATTTAGTGACTACTGCTTGATGGTTTACTACGTTGAATTAATCCTATTCGATGTGGGTTCCACATACTTGATTTTAATTTATATGTTCCACGGAAGAATAAACATCTTTTGCTATCATCATCTCCAGGCATTTTTTTTTTCAAAATGACAGCCAATGGAAGTAAGATACAGTATAAACTTTTTGAAATGTGTTACTAATGTTTGATTTTAAATACTGAATAAAAAGAATGAGAATGAGAACTGTGATGGTCACAGGATTGTTACTTATCCATCCATAGCAATCCATCTTTAGTGGTGCTTTTAAAACAGAAACAACTATTTAATTGCAATTGTATGTATATGTGTGTGTGTGTTCACAAATGAAGTGCAAGTAAGAATTAATTTGAGGTTCATAATTTCATGCACATTACATTCTATCATGCTGGACTGTAGGGCAGAACCTTAT